TTTCGAATAATAAAACTATTTTCGACTATGTGCGCAAAAGCCTGGAAACAAAGAAACAATCAGACCAAACCCCCAACAGATCTTCTACACAAAACACCATTATTCTACTTTGAGACTTTCAGTTATTATTTATTTATTTATCTATATAATTGCGTAGTTTCACTTTACCGGAAAAAGCTCTACCTGAATGTCGCCCAAGGCATCGGAGAACGGCATGGAAGGCGATGATGAAAGAGAAGAAGATTCGGAAGAAGAGATATCGGAGGAGGAAGAGGAGGAGGAGCCGCGGCTCAAGTACCAGCGTATGGGCGGCAGCGTGCCCTCGCTCCTCCAAAGCGACGCCGCTTCGTGTATTGCGGTTGCCGAACGCATGATCGCCCTCGGCACCCTCGCCGGATCCGTCCACATTCTAGATTTTCTAGGCAACCAAGTGAGTTCTTTCTCTCTCTCTCTCTCTCTCTCTCTCTCTCTCTCTCTCTCTCTTTATCTCTTCATCTTAGCAATTTCCTTCTTTTTTTCCCTTTTTGGATTTTGTGCTGTTGTGGTTGGTTTCAAGATCGATTGTATATTTTGATGAGGGTTTAGCTAGTAATTGGTTGAGATAGGTGACTTCAGGCGGCGATCGATTGAAATTTGACGTTTTTTCGTATCTCAATTTAAGTTTGCTGCTTCCAGAAACTGCCGCTGTTGTGACAATTAAGAGTGTCAAGGGAATACCTTCTAGGCATTTGAGCTAAGTAGCTTCTGTAAATTTTTTGCTGTCTTTGTGCTTATTAATTCATACTTATTCAATTATGTGGATTGGTCTAAACAAGACGTTAGCTGTGTAGTGTTTCATAAAAAAAGTTCTCAACTTTTTTATGGGAGTGGAATTATTGATGAATTAGGTACATGTTTTGCTTGTCGTCCTGATTTTGGCAATTCGAAAAGCGAGTGCATTGATATTTTGGAGCTATGAAACTTCGTGCTTTTAATTAAACTGACAATTCTATGTAGTTTCCAAGCTTCCCATCTGTCCTAATATCAGTTCTTTTATGAGAGCAGACTGAGGAAAGGATTACGATTAGGATTTAGACACTTTTGAACTTAAATAGTTAAATTACCGATGCTTGTCTCAGTTTCCATCTTGAGTTGTCTACTTTGAATTTGTTAATCGGAGGAATAAATTTATGTTTCACATGATACACCATCTCTGCTTGAATAGATGTGTAAGAATCAATACCAGATAGATGACCTTTTGACTATTTTACCTTCCTACATTTCTGAAGCATTCTCTCTGGATCACGCTCTGACCTGCACTCCTGTTGGTTATAGGTCTCATTGGCCTCCGAATGCATCATCAATTATTTATTATCTAGGACATATGCATGACTTTTTTTGATAAATCTTGTGACTCATGTAGACCTGCATTCTCTCTGGATCATGCTATAATACAAGCTTTAAGAACATGTGTTCTTATTCTTGAAATGTGTGGAGATAGTAGAGAGTATATGCTATGATGCCGGCTTTCTGCCTCTGTGTTCTTATTTATTCTTTAGTCTGTTTTATAGAGTACTTCCCATTAGTGGTCTTGAAAAGTGTGATAAAATATGTGTATTGTATGTAATATGTTAAATCTAGATAGCATTACACATTATTGACTGACTGAGGTAAGGTTAACACGATATTTGAGGCCCTTTCAGTGACAGATGATGTAATACGATTGACATTTCAGTTGATTCAACATATTTCCCCTGCTCCAGGTTAAGGAGTTCATTGCACACACTGCTGCAGTTAATGATCTTTGCTTTGATATCGAAGGTGAATACATTGGAAGCTGCTCTGATGATGGTTCTGTTGTAATTTGTAGTCTTTTTACTGACGAAAGAATGAAATTTGAGTATCATCGTCCTATGAAGGCCATTGCTTTAGATCCAGATTATGTGAGGAAATCATCCAGAAGATTTGTTACTGGAGGTTTAGCAGGTCATTTGTATTATAACGTGAAGAAATGGATTGGCTACCGAGACCAGGTTTATCTAGGTTTCTGACAATTGTACTTGTATGCTGTCATAAAGAACTTCGGAAAGTTATTTTAGTGTTGGACAACTCAGCGAAGGTAATTTCCTTGTCCCAGGTGTTACACTCTGGTGAAGGCCCAATTCATTCAGTGAAGTGGAGAACTAGCCTTATTGCCTGGGTTAATGATGCTGGCGTGAAAGTTTATGATGCTGCTAATGATCAACGTGTAACATTTATAGAAAGGCCTCGTGGAAGCCCACGACCTGAGCTTCTGCTTCCTCATTTGGTTTGGCAGGTTAGTGCCTGATAAGCATGGAAATGTTTTTTTTTTTTTTTTCCTTTAAAAAAGAAAATTGGTAATAGCAGTATGATAGGATCTGAATCCAACCATTTTAGTCGAGAATACCACCTCACTGAAGGTGAGTTGTTAGGTATGGAAATGGCTGTGATGCCTGTAATAAATTGACTTGTTTGAAAGAACAAAATAACCTCAAACCATGCGAAACAATGAAACAGCACCGCTGAAGACCATGGTACTTTTCCTTAACATTTTGTACACTTTGTTCAGGATGATACTATGCTGGTTATCGGATGGGGAACATCTGTTAAAATAGTATCAATAAGAGGCAATCAGAATAAAACCGTGAATGGGACATATAAGCAGATTCAGATGTCTAGCATGAACAAGGTGGATATTGTGGCATCATTTCAATCGAGCTATTTCATTTCAGGAATTGCTCCTTTTGGTGATTCTTTGGTTGTTTTAGCGTACATTCCCGTGGAAGAAGATGGAGAAAAGGACTTTCGTAGCACTATTCCTTCACGCCAGGTAGTTTTCCAGACATTCTTATGTGTTGTTCAACTCTTGTATCTGGCTGGCTGCTTTTGCCTTTCTAGGTTATGTCTTTCCAATAAACTTACAAAAAAAAAGAAAAAAAAAAAAATACTTTGATAGTTAGAGAAAAGCATTTGGCTTGTTCTTTGAAGTTTTTGAATTTGTCTATTCAACCTTGTGGAATACATCTGTTCCAGCTGCAAAATCCTTCTGTTTCTTAGCTTTCTTCATGATATTTTTTTTCTTTATTTGTGTTCTCTAAGGTTTTAGCCCACCTTTTACTATCATCTGGTTGTTAGTCACTTTTCTTTTCTATGGGGGTATACTTTGGTGCTCCGTGCACCATGTAGAAGTTTCGTTCTGTCAGTTTCAGAGATTGTTTTAAAATGATCCAAGTAGTCTGATGAGTGATTCTTTTGGGTGTTTCTTTGACAAGATTTTTGAATTTTGATCTTTCCATATTGATGCTATTCAATTGCTTTCATGGGCCTGAAGCACAAATAGCTTCTGTAGACGGTCTTCTTGTGAATGATTGATCAGACAGTGCCTTATGAGGCTAACTGCTGCTTGTTTGATGTGCAAAACAGGGAAATGCTCAGAGACCTGAAGTCAGAGTTGTCACTTGGAATAACGATGAACTGGCGACTGATGCATTGCCTATACATGGCTTTGAGCATTATAAGGCCAAGGATTATTCCCTTGCTCATGCTCCTTTCTCAGGTAAAGCTTTGTTTTTATGTAATTTCAACTTTAGCATAGATGATTGTGGCTGTTTCTCTACCCTTTCTTATTCAATAGTAGTCATAGTACTGAAAACTTTTTGCTCTTGATTATAGGTAGCAGCTATGCAGGTGGTCAGTGGGCTGCTGGCGATGAACCACTGTACTATATTGTGTCACCAAAGGATGTTGTTATTGCTAAGCCCAGGTTAATGAGTTTATATTTCTTTTTTGTTATGTGAGTGTGCGTGTCAGGATTAAAGAGAACCCATGCTTGCTCTTCCTGGTTTCTTCAACTCTTTGTTGGAGCAATGTACTGGGTTTTAATCATAATAAGTAACTATTTTGTTGGAGTGTAGGATATGGTTTGAAATGTAATGACAAGCACATTGTTCGGCTTAGTGTTCTTGTTTCTTGAACCATTTAATTTCTAGCATCCTTTTAGAGAACTGCATGTAGGCGTACTGTGAAGAATGCATGGCAGCATGTTTCTTATTCGTGAACAATCTGCTGTTTCTTTCTCATACGGGTCATACCTTATTTGTGGTCTTGTAAGTACATACAGTGTTCTGACTTGTATGAGGTATTTTAAAACGTTGAATGTAGGGATACAGAAGATCACATATCTTGGCTTCTTCAACATGGACGGCACGAGAAAGCCTTGGCAGCAGTTGAAGCGGGTCAGGGACGGAGTGAGCTTCTTGATGAGGTACTCTGTTTTATTGGGTTTTGCTTGAAGTGTTAACTATATATATATATATATATTATATCTTTCATGTTGGTGTTTTAGCTCTGTAAACTTATATATAAATTTTTAGCTATTTTGTTTTCGTTAAAACAGGTGGGGTCCAGATATCTTGACCATCTAATTGTCGAACGCAAATATGCTGAGGCAGCATCTTTATGTCCCAAATTACTGCAAGGCTCTGCTTCTGCATGGGAAAGGTACCATAATACTTGTGCACTTTCTGTGTAATTATGGTTTTAAGTGTATAATTACTTTCGGATTATTTTATCAACCTGGGGTTTATTACAACTTTCAGGTGGGTTTTTCATTTTGCTCATCTTCGTCAACTTCCTGTGCTAGTTCCTTACATACCTACGGAAAATCCGAGGTTACGTGATACTGCTTACGAGGTTTGTATCTGAAGTGCTACTGCCTCATATTTCTTTTCATTTCTTTCTTCGTTTGGTTCTGTTTTCTTTTTTTTGTTTGTTTGTTTTCTTGCTACTATGTTATGATCACGCCAGAATGTCTTAAATATCTGTCATGCACTAGGTAGCTCTTGTTGCTTTGGCGACAAACACATCATTTCATGAGGATTTGGTGAAAATTGTTAAAACCTGGCCACCTGCTCTATATTCTACTTTGCCCGTTATCTCAGCTATAGAACCCCAGCTTAATACTTTGTCATCTAGTGAGGCTCTCAAAGAGGTTAGTTCCTGGCAATCTTAATGTTTAATTCCTGCTTACTTTTTGTTTATGTCTTACTTGTAATCTTCTTATGTCAGGCTCTTGCTGAGCTTTATGTAATTGATGGACAATATGAGAAAGCTTTCAGCCTGTATGCTGATGTAAGTGCTCATTGCTGTGGATGTAATCTTCTTGAATATTTAGTTACAATGTGCTGAATTTGGGACTAAGGTCATGTTCATTATTCTATTTTTAATTTACTTTTTTCCTTATTTGATAATTCTATGTATTTCAGCTTAAGAAGTCGGATATATTTGACTTCATTGACAAACATAATCTGCATGATGCCATTCGAGAAAAGGTACTTTAGTTAGCCATTGATTTAAAGCAGCTTTTTACTTTTTCACGTTCAGTTATTGTTAATCAATTTCTTATATTTGATACTAAAAACTAAGGTCCCCTTTCCTAAAAGTTCTTCCTCATTTGGTTTTTGAATTTTGCCAGACTCAGATTATCTGACTTCTATAGGTTCCTTGCATTAATAACTTTACAAAAAATGATCAACATGATTTAAATTTGTTTAATTTGTTTGATTGATTTGAACATGTCTTTGCAGGTAGCTCAGCTTATGTTGATAGACTGCAAACGTGCAATTCCACTGTTTATCCAGCACAGAGACCTCATAAGCCCATCTGATGTAGTTTCGCAACTCCTAGCTGCAAAGAAGTGTGATTACCGATATTTTTTGCATCTCTATCTGCATGCACTATTTGAGTCAAATCCGCATGCTGGAAGGGATTACCATGACATGCAGGTTCGTAAATGATTAAAAATCAACTTATATTCTTCATTGGAGGAGGTATATATTCTTCATTGAAGCAGGTATACGTGATTATGCGTATGTATTTAAGTTATAAGCTTGTAGGTCAGGTTCCTTATATGCATGGCCTGAATGACTAACATTTGGGGTTCGATGTTGAACTCCCCCCAGAAAATATGTGAGTTAATTGTAGAAGAGCTGAAAAGAAATAAAATTATTGGGAAAATTTATCCAGCATTGCGTGGTGTTTATAAAAAATTTAATAGATGAAAAAGATAGGGATTGGTCTTACTCGAGTAGCAATTTGACTGGAGAAATTAATTATTTTGATTTCCTTGTAGAAATTGAGACTGCAATTGAATTGTCACATGAAGATAACCGGACTTCTCAATGTGTGGTTTGTTTGAATTTGGTCATTTTTAAAGACATGTATGTGAATCTGGCTTTTCTTGCCTGATAAAATGTCTGCCTATATGTCGGTTCGTAAGTCTTGGTGTATATGTACCAACAACGAGTTTCTATGTACTTGGTGTTCAATTTTTTTTTTTTTATGTGCATCTTAGTATATTCTGAACTTTTTGTTTTAAGTTTACCTGACGACACTTGATACAACTGTATGAATGGATTTTTTTGTTTTACATTTTTTGTTTTGTTTGTTTATTTATTTATTTTTATAATATCGCCTAATGCGTAAATTTCGTCAACAGGTGGAGTTGTATGCTGACTATGATCCGAAAATGCTGCTTCCCTTTCTTCGGAGTAGTCAGCATTACACACTGGAAAAGGTTTAATCCCGAACTTCTGTGAATTCCATGCAACTGTTCTGTGATCTTCTCATTTTTTATCATTAAATTTATCTCAGGCGCATGAAATTTGTGTCAAAAGAGATTTATTAAGGGAGCTAGTCTTTATTCTTGGAAGGATGGGAAACTCCAGGCAAGCTTTGGCAGTAATTATCAATAAATTGGGGGATATAGAAGAGGTTCTCATCTCGATCCACAAATTCATCTTATATACATATATGTGTGTATATATTTGGAACTGTATTTGAAATTGAGTTGTTTTTTGAATCGTTTGCAGGCCATAGAATTTGTAAGTATGCAGCATGATGATGAACTCTGGGAAGAGCTTATTAAACAGTGTCTAAACAAACCAGAGATGGTAAGTTGTAAAATCTGAGATACTGATAGAACTTTATGAGATTTCACTGTACATTCAGTAACCCTTTTCTACTTATATTTGGTTCATTTCAAATTTACAGGTAGGGGTGTTGTTGGAGCATACTGTCGGCAATCTCGATCCCTTGTATATTGTAAATATGGTCCCAAATGGATTAGAGATACCACGGTAAGTCGATTTTTATTTTTTTCTTTTTAGTTCCTTTTATAGTTTCTTTTTAGTGCTCAATAAGCATAGCAGTCGAGTTTAAGTTTGGCGTTCTTAGGCAGAAAATTTTTGCTGTCTTCTGCATAACTAATAAGTCTCTTGACCAAATTCATTCGAGCTCCTTACATTATGTCTTTTTGCAACTGCTGGTTGTGCTTCACAATGCACATAATATCGAATTCAAGCCCTTAGAATCAAACCTCAGGTGAGGTGAAACCTAATGCCAATTCTCGCAATTATTCCTGAAAGAACCGTAACAGTTAAAATATAATGAAATTTCTTTTGCATAGGATCAAAAGAGTCGAATTGCTACTGTCATTTTGGTTTTGGTTCTGAAATGGGTCTTGCTCTATAAGCCTCGCATATGTTCCACTGAAATGCATGTCCTGCTCACTATTTGTTCTCTCATTACATTACATTGATACTATTTATAATCTCCTAAATATGCTCAAGTTAAATGCATATTGTCCCAGGCTTCGAGACCGCCTAG